AAACACAAATAATAAAAAAGCTTTTTAATATTAACGCGGGGCGTCTTTGCGTACCTTCGCCCTTCTGTTTCGTCGAGCTACCCTGTATGCTCCCACGAATTCAGGGACCACTAACAGCTAAATGTGTTTCTAAATATTTAACGCCATTATTGTTCCATTTGTATGCCTGAGACTCTGTTGTACGTTTTCTGTCCCGTGATACCCCCTATTTAGATTTGCAAGCACTGTTGCCGATTTTTTCGTGTCCTGATTAGGTTTGCTTACCAATTGAGAAGCTAATTCTCAATCCTTAGGGTTGGGTTTTAAAATACACACACTGAACTAGTTCCTAATGGCATGGCAAATAATGCAGACTCGGGAAGTAGCACTATCCAAAGCCGTTTTCACTTTATTAAGCGAACCTACAAACTTTTTTCGAGGAAAATGGCTTTTCTAACTTCATTACGTTGCTTCTAGCAAACAAAAATGAATTTCCTATCAGGACAAAATTACACTCTATTACCAGTGCCGCTTCGCGAACTTTTCAGGGAAACAAGTCAAACTTTTAAGGGCAAAATTAGCTGAATATGCATGTCACGTGAATGGCTTCAAATCAAATCCGATTAAAATGAAGTGTACTTTTGTGCCAGTTCTATGAATTTTCCGGGAAAACACTGTTTTATTGTCAACTGATTTCAATTATTAGTTGCGAGGAGTTTATTTCAGCTCTTACCAGAGCGAGTCACAACATTTATCTTTTCTTTAACGTTTTGTAAACGATTGAAATTGGCCGAGTTTTTCTTTAAACTTTCGGTTTTTTTATGATATTGTATCGTCGTTTTGGCAAAGAGATTTAACACCCTTGAGCGGGCCCCCTTCGTAAATTAACGGTCCCTACATGTTTGCACTTCACTACATGACAATGGAACAAAGCCACTTAACAAAAAATACTTCGATACATGAAAAATGGGTATATTTGCCTTATACCGCCAATACGACCTCAACATTCTCATATTGGATTTGGTAAAGAGCAGGGCTGGATTTCCGGAATTCGAATTATGCATTGCCCAAATTGCTTTACATTCCAAGACTATTAAAGCGCAGTTTAATAGTAATCGCGCTTTTATGGTTTTAAGTGCATTATTTATCTACTAATCAGTAGTTGACTTTCGGTTCACATTGGTTTTTGCCAGTTGTAATCGCGAAACTAAGCAATGTAGCTACACAATTTTGGGCGTGAGTTTGCAACGAAAATACTTAAGCGATTTAAGTGAAAGTTTTAGCTGGCTTGTTGATTTTAATCCTCTAGAATAATTTATTCTGTGAGAGACTTGGGACTGATCACCCTGCATTCCAACCCTGTGAGAAATCTCCCCCCGGATTACGGTTCGGCATAGAGCAAACATTTTTTTGCGTTTGTTATGCTAGAGAGAGAAAGTCGGCAGAAATTCGGTGAAATATTGTCTTTTTAGGGCAAAAACAAACATAGTAAATACATTGATGTGGTGGATTGTGGGGATCGCGACTTGTAGGGGGCGGAATTGCCGCACAACTGTAAGTATAATATTGATATTTGTTGAGTTTATGAGACATTCCACGGTTATTAGGTTGCGGACAATTTCGCTCTTATTAGTTGTTGCAAGTGGAATAGGCCTGGGAAACACAGTGGATTTTCAGGTGTTCACACAACGGCACCGATACAGCGACACTGCGCGCCACACTTTTCATATGTTGGAAAATAAAAACGGAAAAAAAATAAATAAAAAAAATAAGACGTTGTGTTTCGTGATGTCCCTAGCGGTGCTTTTAAGCGGTGCAGCGCGTTCAATGTTTTTCCTTTGGTTTTACTGAAGAGAGACTATGACAAACGCCGGTTGCGTTGTTTTACTGAAAGGAATGAATGAAGTGGCAACATGTTTTCTTCTTGTATGCCTATTTGTCTCACGAGAATCTGTGATTGGTTTCGTAGCTGCTGGGTCAGCTATAAATTATGACCGAATGACTTTTGTTTCTTTATGTATGACTGACAAAACCATTTAAGTTAGTTTAGACTGATTTTTCATGCAATTGAGTAGTGCAATTAATTAACTAGTGAAATTTAGCAAATTTTCATTTTTCGTCAAAATTTTTCCAAGGGTGGAAGTCGATTTTTTGAAAAAATGAAAATGTTTTCAAAATATCTTAAATTTTAAATTATTTTCAGCTCACGGTCACGAGGAATGCATCGAACTCATTGGAAAACATGTTATAAGTTTTAGATCCGAAATAATAGACTTTTTGGCACATTTTAATGGTTTTTTAAGCGTTTACGATGTTTAGCCGAGGATTTCGTCCTTATTATTGACCCAAACACTTTATAAATGCATATTTGTGACCGTTTTGCCTCGAAAGGAATCGATTGCACTCAAAAAAACCGCATGTAAAATTTTGATTTTTGATCGAAATTTTTCCAATAGTGTAGCCGAGAAAAAATTAAAATGGTCTCAAACTGTCTTAATTTTTACATCATTTTCAGCTCACGGACGCGAGGAATGCATCGAACTCATTAAAAAACGTGGTAGAAGTTTCAGATCCGAAATAATACACATTTTCGGCACAATTTAAGCGTTTTTTGAGCGTTCACGATCTTTAACCGACGATTTCTTCCTTATTATTGACCCAAACACTTTATAAATRCATATTTGTGACCGTTTTACCCTGAAAGGAATCGATTGCGCCCAAAAAACCCGCATGTAAAATTTTGATTTTTGGTCGAAATTTTTCCAATAGTGTAGTCGAGTTTTTGAAAAAATGAAAATATTCTCTAAACGTCTTAATTTTTACATCATTTTCAGCTCACGGACGCGAGGACTCCATCGAACTCATTAAAAAACGTGGTAGAAGTTTCAGATCCGAAATAGTAGACATTTTAGGCACAATTTAAGCGTTTTTTGAGCGTTCACGATCTTTAACCGACGATTTCTTCCCCATTATTGACCCAAACACTTTATAAATGCATATTTATGACCTTCTTGGCTCGAGAGGAACCGAGTGCGCTCAAAAAACCCGCATGTAAAATTTTGATTTTTGGTCGAAATTTTTCCAATGGTGTAGTCGAGTTTTAGAAAAAATGAAAATATTCTCTAAATGTCTTAAATTTTGCATCATTTTCAGCTCACGGGCGCGAGGAATTCATCGAACTCATTAAAAAACGTGGTAGAAGTTTCAGATTCGAAATAATACACATTTTCGGCACAATTTAAGCGTTTTTTGAGCGTTCACGATCTTTAACCGACGATTTCTTCCTCATTATTGACCCAAACACTTTATAAATGTATATTTATGACCTTCTTGGCTCGAGAGGAACCGAGTGCGCTCAAAAAACCCGCATGTAAAATTTTGATTTTTGTTCAAAAAATCGAAAATGTTCTCAAAATGTCTTGAATTTTACATCATTTTCAGCTTACGGACGCGAGGAATGCATCGAACTCATTAAAAAACGTGGTAGAAGTTGCAGATCCAAAATAATATACATTTTCGGCACAATTTAAGCGTTTTTTGAACGTTCACGATCTTTAACCGACGATTTCTTCCTCATTATTGACCCAAACACTTTACCAATGCATATTTGTGCCCTTCTTTCCTCGAGAGGAATCAATTGCGCTCAAAAACCCCGCATAAAAAATTTTGATTTTTGGTCGACATTTTTCCAATGGTGTAGTCGAGTTTTTGAAAAAATGAAAATGTTCTCTAAATGTCTTAATTTTTACATCATTTTCAGCTCACGACCGCGAGGAATGCATCGAACTCATTCTTTGAATATTTGTGCTTCTCAAATAAACCAATATTCCATAAAGAATAATCAGCAAAAGCGAGACAGTATTGAGATCAGTTAATACTGCTTCCCGAATTTTTGGCGGGTATGGCAACAACGCGGGACCGACGAGTGATGACGTGCGACCAAAGTTACAGCGTACAGACTATATGTATTTAATGACTATACACTAGTTGTAACATTGCAAACCGTCACAAGTAAAACGTCGGTGTTTTTGGTATAAAACGCGGTGTGTATGTTTGAAAATAACTCATTGCCCAACTGGGGACGCCTTGAAGTTGATGAATAAATAACTATTCTCCAAGGAGAATAAAACACTTAATTCCGTGGCCCCGATCGTCGTCCCTTTCGGAGAAACTAATAACGGAGGATATCTTTAACCCCTTTCACCCCGAAAATATCAAATTCCACCCCACACACAGCACATGCAAATGATTTCTTTTCACCCCGCATGCATTTTCCTCTAATTCTGAATGTCTCCGTTGCAGATTCCAGGCGCCACCGTGCGAAACTGGAAGGGATAGTCAGCTGGCCTCAGCGTCGCGACGCCGTATATGCCAGTCGACGTCAGGCGTTTGTTTGCTCTATTTCGACGTCACTGTTCCGGTTCCGGTGTCGTTAACCCGAAACGTTCTGTTTTCGTCCAAAATCAACGTTCCAAAGCTGCGAGCGAAACCACTGAAAAACTTTATCCAGACGTTCCACGGGCTTCTTGTGCCACAGTGAAAGGACATCATGACATGTTGTGATGAGTAACGGTGTTTAGTGTGCGGTTTACTTTGACATGACTTTGACTGGATAAGGACAAAAAACGGACAATGGAGCTGGTCCTGCTGGTGATTTTAGCGTCCTGCGTTGCTGTCCATCACTGCGGAAGCTCCTGGCAGGAGAACGTCAGGCCGAAGATGTATGTTCAATTAGGTAAGTCCAGTTCGAATTTGCTCGTGTTGAATCAATTTCCCCTTCAAATTATCAGCGGTTGGTCACCCAAAACACTTCTTTCAACTGTTCCGGAGTTTACTTCCGTCCGGTTTCGCATCGTAATGCTCTGCTTAGCAGGACTTTTCAAAATCTACATTAATGTGCTCACGTTCACTTTCAACGTCTACATTAGTCACTTTTTCCTCGAAATCATTATTTGATTTTAATGCCTTTTTAAACCCCGGTGCCCACACAAATGTTTTCAAACTGATGAATCAGTTTACAATGAGTAGTTGAAGTGATAAAGTTACTTGGGCCAATTCGAGATACCATAAAACAATGGTCTGATTTAGCAGGAACGATATTTACACGCTGAGAGGTTGTGGACTAGTTATCTGATAAAACATACATATAGTGTTGCAGTCCATAATATCACCTTATCGCACTTGGTTCACAATACACTGCTTTGGTTCCTTATATTTCTGCGCTACAACTTTTGGTTCAGTAATTTTGGGTGAGAAGGAATTCACTTTTCGGTGCAGTTCGGTTTTTTTGAGCTTTTAGCAGATATTCTTCGACGTGAGACTGATGCGCCCAAAGTTGCAACAGAAATAACTTGAGGCCATTCCTTAAAACTAATGAGTTTTTCGGGTTTTTAGGCCGTCGTTCGGTAGAGTTTCTTCCTGACGTTTTGCAAGCACGAGTGGCTTGCATCTTCAGAAGTGGTTTGCTTGAACGCTTACACTGTTCTCATCAGAACCCGTGCAGTTCTGCGGAAGAACTGAACGGGTTCTGATGAGAACAATGTAAGCCACTCGTGCTTGCGAAACGTCAGGAATAAATTCTCATCGTGCAGTAGAATTTCTCCTTGACGTTTCGCAAGCACGAGTGGCTTGCATCTTCAGAAGTGGTTTGCTTGAACGCTTACACTGTTCTCATCAGAACCCGTTCAGTTCTTCCGC